GTAGCAGGGCAAAAGATCAGTCGAAGCGGCAGGCAAAAAACATGGTTGATGAACTGGCCGAGGTCAGTGCAGGTGGAAGGCAGAGATGTGGTTGATAATCCATCCAGATGGCAGGCAGAGGCATAGTCCATAAACAGGCCAGTGTCAGTAACGGTAGAAAGCAGACACATGGTTTAGAAACAATTCACACAGCAGACAGAGGCATCGTCTTTAAACAGGCCAGGGTCCGTTAACGTGGAAGGCAGAGGCATTGTCAGTTGAGGCAGCAGGCAAATGATCAGCACAGATTTTGTAAATGGCAGGCAGTTAAAAATAAGGGGAACTAATATTTTAGTGATGTATGATAATGTCGGAAGTAATCTCTGATATATAGGCCCAGTTGGGAATGACACAGGAGACAATATAAACTGGTGTCTCTTCTAACTCCCCCTCTGCTGCATACCCTATTTTTTTTTTTTTGGAGGGAGGGGGGGCATCTTTTTCCTGTTTCTATTGGTAGATGTTCTCAAGGAAGTGCGCTGATGACGTCTGCTGACACAGTGTGAGCAAATGCATTCTGGTGGAGATCCTTGCTGGTAAATTGGGGCAGTCATGACATCTTCTATAAATTTTCGGAAGGTATTCCCATTGACTTTGATAAGTCACATATGCATTAAAATGGCCAAATGAAAAAGGTAAATTTTATACCAGAAAAGTGACTTTCTTGTTGATAAATAGGGGTGTAGCATCTGATTGTTTAAATCTGCTGGTGGCTGCCTGGTCTTTAGAATGTATTATTCGTTTAGGAGGGACTGCTTCCTCCTTCGATTTGTTTGCCGATCCACCACTTTCAACTGCCTCGTATTCCAAATTGGACAGCAAGGGCGGCTCTCTTCCGTGATACAGAGCATTTGAAATGCCTCCTCACTAGTATATAATTTTTTTGTATATGGGGGCTGTATGACTGGTAAACCGCTGATGGGGGTGGCAGTGATGGCAGCTTTGTGGTGGGTACACTGATTAGGCTGCACTGATGACAGGTACACTGGTGGATGCACTGACAGTAGCGCAGCTGGGGAGATTCCAGGATCCACAGTGTATTTCCTTTAGATATACAGTATGGGACTCAGGATACGCTCCTCTACCATAAATTATATGCAACTACGTTTCAGATGATTGGGCACTGCCAAAAAGAAACTGCAGTGAAACCCCACTATGTAACTCCTTCCACCCACAGCTAGCCTCTGTTTTTCTTTTTTTTTTCGCTAATCTTGGGTGGTGCACTACTTCTCTCCACTGAAAGAAGTTTACGTTTTATTGCTATGAAAGTTTTTTTTTTTCTCTGATAGCTTTTTTTTTTTTTTACTAAGATCTCTACATAATAGCCACTGCAGCTTCTGGATTAGGGTTAGGCATGGTGCTTTGCAGATCCTTGGCCTGTCTGTTGCAGAGCCCTGTCTCTAAAGGCCCCAGCAGGGTATGACCATCATGAAGGGCAAAGCCCTTTTTAATCCCTGCCCACAGAGCAGGTTTAACTACTGATCAGGATATTGTCTTTTTTTGTTATGCTCTAAAACATCCCATGGACATTTTTCTCCACTGTCTTGACATCACCATGCGCATTCCATTCTGACCATACAAGCAATTTTAGATTTTACAAAATTATGTAATATGAAGGCATACGTAATCTATTAAATCAGTTCGTATTCAGTCAGGTAGGTCCATGCACTACATAGTTGTTAGCAGGCATAAGGGAGATTGTACAATTAGATTGTAATGTGTGTGGCGAGTTTAAGTAAACACCTGAAGTTATAACCAAATCTCAGCTCCTCTGTAATGTATTCCCCCGAAGCCTAGCTATTGGCTGTTAAAATGGACCTTGCACTGAAAATGCAAGGTCTGCTTCACCAAGGGCCACCACTGCCATGTTAAATTAAAAAAACATTAACTTTTTAAAAGTCATAAAAAACATACAGAGGAAATAAAGGGACTTTTTAAGCACCAAAACTACAAAAGGAAATGAGATCTTGTATAAAAAAAAAAAATACAAGTTATTGAACAAATTATAAATTCAATGAATTGAAATGCGTTGGAGTTTTTCTTTGGTGATATACTGTATAGCCTAATCATCGCCATCCACATCAAAATTATGTTTTATGTATTGTCTGTTTTTTCATTGTACTATGTTCAATAAATTTGTATTTTTTTTTTATATGAGATCTTTTTTTTTTTTTTTTTTCATTTGTAGTTTTGGTGCTTAAAAAGTCCCTTTTTTCTTCTCTGTTTTTTTTTTACGGCTCTGCAATTTTGGGATAAACACCTTGTATGTTTAACACATTTAACCAGCACTATATATTTTCTTAACTTTTTAAAAGTTAATATACTTCACTTACCCCACCTCTGCCTGCAACGCCTAGTAAGGATGATGTTGCCATCCTTGTGTGAAATGCTGAGTAGCCTTGTTGGTGCTCCTGGCCCCTCCACCCTGCTGAGTGCCCCCAAGCCACCTGTGTGTGTCCATTAGACACACAGAGCATGGCTCAGCCCCGCCCCCCACTCCTTCTTTACTGGCTTTGATTGACAGCAGCGGGAGCCAGTGGTCTTAGCCAATGAGGAAGGAGATATCTGGGAGAGCCGCTACTCTCGTGCAATTTGTTGGATTGGGATCAGGCTTGGGCTCAGGTAAATATTAGGGGGCCTGAGGGGAGAGCTGCACGCTGAAGTTTTTTTATCTTCATGCATAGAATCAGCCTTTTACGACCACTTTAACTTACTTTTCTTTTCTTTTTATTTTTTTTTATTTGCATCCGCTAGGGCATGGGGATGATGCACTAAGAAAATGGACTTCGCTTGTAAGACAGGGTATATTTTACAGTATATCTGCACTTACAGTGCTGATACTTTGGCTTTTCTCGTCCTTGCAGCGTATATATGAACAAAAAATTAAACAGGGTGTCTGTGCCTTTGAAAAAAACTAGTTTGCTCCTTTCAGTGAGGCCTGCAGGTCCCATCTTCCACGCACAATTTGTTGTATTGTGAAAGATGCTGCTCTCAAGAACCGCTAGAGATCTATGAGCAAGACAGGAAATGGACTATGATGAATATGAATTTCCCCTCTTGCCTTACCCAGAAGCTCTCTCTAGTGCAGTGGTGGTAAACTTTTTTTATAGATTGCCTCAGGTGTGGCCCTGGCAATTATCACCCGCAAATAATATTTAGTGAATGTGATGCTAAAGAAAGCAGTCAGACTGCAGACAGGCGATGGTCATGGACTACCTGCTTGCTGCAAGAAATGGTCAGAGACTGTGAACATGCTATGGTAGTTGGAGATTGGGTAGATGATTTAGGAGACATACTGTGAACACATTCCATGAGACAGCTAGAAATCACTGCTGTTTCAAAGCAATAGGGAAGAGAGGCTACTGTCTGCAGAGTGAATAAGAGGGAGAGAACAATGTTCTTGGACAACTTGCCAGCTTGCTAACAACCGAATTAACCTAACAGTATGGGGGTTTAGTTAGCACACATTTGCAAATACATACGTAAGCCACAGAGCCACGACATGGCACCCTGATAATCTGTGGTCCTAACTCTACAATTTGTGAGTCCCCATAGTAGAGGCACATGCATTTAATGGATAGATCAAGGGCAGGTGGACCTGAGGGAGCCACCCCTCTTAAAGGCAAAGGAGTGCACTGGACCCCAGCATGTAGCACAATGGCAACCAGGGTCCCAGTGCACCCACGTACCAAAAACTCAAACATGCATGAGGGGGAAAGCAGAGAGTGGGAGCAGGTGGATGTAGATAACGCGAGGTGACATTCAGGGTATGGCAGTGCTGAATCCAGCAACACATGATTGGTGATTTTGGTTTGACCTTGAAAAATGTCATACTTCATTTTCTTTTTACATTTTCTTTGTATGTTCTGTGATCACACTTTGATATACAGCTTAAGCTCAGCTCTGGAGGGTAAAATGATTTGCCCCTTGCAGTGGGTCCCTCCTCACCACTGTGAGGCTTATCTGCTCATTTTGCATAGATTATGAATAAGCTGATATACAAACAAGAAGCATGCACACAGGAAGTGCAATAGAGTTAAAAGCTTAAATGTTACAATGAAATGCAAATTGGCCATTCAGAATTAAAATAGAAAACGCATGTACTTAACACTCCCCAGCATGGGTGCTGTATTCACACTTGTACTCCTGCATAGCATTGCTGTCAGATGGAGGAATAGCTAAAGCTGAAGAACAGAACAGAGCTCTGTACACAGGCACAGGCAATCTCCTGGATGATGATGCAAGTGGGGCGGAGCAGTGGGCATGGTTACATGTTTCGGAGAATCTTTCTCTTTGTCAAGCCTTTGATCCTCAGTTGCTTCTTGTAGTATTCTGCCGGTGGCTTTATTCTCTGATATTTATAAGTTGCTGTGTTTGGTTTAACTAAAATATTTTGAAATGATTTCTGTAACTCATGTCTGATAACTGAGAACTCTGCTTTTTGTATTTATTTTTTTGAATTGTATGATTTCCGTATTACCATACACTTTGTGTTTTGCTAAATCGGTTATCTTGAAACTGCGGCCTGTGGGTGAATGAGGCCCTTTGCTTGCCTTTATCAGGTTCTTGGTGCACTATTCCACTGACACCAACAAAAAGGGACTCCCACTGATACCAATAATCAGGCATTATTCTTCCAACTGATACCAAATATGGTACACTATTCCTTCCACTGACACCATTTTCTAATCCCACTGGCCACAGTCTGGCCCCCTTAAAGTCTGAGGGGCAGTAAACTGGCCCTTTGTTTTTAAAGTTTGGAGACCCCTGTGCTAAATCATTTGTAAACTTGCATATTTTAATTAAGTGCAAAAACCATGACTTTTTAACCTTGCATGAATTTTATAAATATACAGTGCTGCTTGCATATTTCTTGGCTTAGCTTATGGTCATTAAGCAAATAGTTGTTTAGAAAAATGTTAACAGTTCTGTTGTGAGTGAATGATTTTCTTTTATTGCAGCATATTCTCCGCAAGTTGATAACCATATCAGCTCACCTAGTTTTCTTGGTCATCCATTACCTCCCTCCCCAGGCAGATACTCTCCAGTTCCAAAAGGAATGCTTGGAGATGATGATTTAACACGGTAGGAATATTTTTGTGTTTGGTAATGTTTTGTACCACTGTTTAACCACTCATAAATTTACACATAATAGTATGTCTCCTAAGCCTGCTAGCCAACTTTTTTTTTTTTTAAATAGTCCATAGGCATCTTTTTTCAAAAGTGTTATGCTGAGTAGAATTTTTTTATACTGATCTTTAACAATACTGTTTTTATTCTTATCAGAATTATCAGATAGTACAGGACTCAGAGACCATGGGTTATATGCAGGCTACCTTCAGTTGATTAGACTCATACTCTTGAGACTCTCCAGTGTTTTTTTTTGCTAGTGTCCTTAAGTGATGAACCTGTTCTCTAGAGACTCCGCTTTTTAATCTGTAGCTTCTTGCAAGATTTGACTGCTTACTGCCTTGGGCTAGATAGCAGCTTCCAGATCGGTTTCCCTTCGTGTGTACCTTGGGAACTGCACTCGTACCCCACTGTGTGAGGCCAGCCTGTAATGTTTGCTTTCAGCATTAAATCCTGCATTAGATGCTCACCTTGGAGCAGCAGGAGTAGTTAGAAAAGGACTATAGATCTGTATAGCATCCTGTATCTAAGGTTTCCTAGACTCTGAGGATCCCTTTTATAGTTAGACCCACTGTGACCGCCAAAGCTTGGGCCCTAAGTAGGCCTAGAACTGCGGATAAGGTAAGACTGGGTTTCCCTGTGTGTTGGCACCAGTCCCTGGCTTTTATTAGTACAAGTCTAAGTAGCATACTATGCAGTTTGACTCTCAAAAGACCTTGCCTACAATTCAATTTTGTAGTAATCTTACTGTTAGTATTATAGCAAAACTGTGTACATTTCAACCTCCAAGGTATTTATAATGTACAGGTTGTGTATTTATAATGTAAAGGTGTGTGTTTTTTTTTTTGTTTTTGTTTTTTTATATCTATACACCAATGTTTTGCATTCCATTTCTTTTTTAAATGTGAATGGGTTGTTTTGCAAGGTAAGGGTTTACATATACTTTAAGACTTCTACATCTACTATTTCTGCTCCACAAAAGGGTTCTTTTTGATCACTACAGACATGAACTTCCAAACCAAGGCATAGAACCGACTTTTGTTGCAAGCTCTGGATTCCCAAGTCCAACGAGCCTGCCCAGAAACCCTGAGCAGGCTCGTTGGACTTAGGAGTCCAGAGCTTGCAACAACCTAAAGGTGTAAATCAGGTATTTGTATTCTTTATTTAGGTATGTATGTCAACTCTCTGGAACAGATATACAGGTATTTACCAAACCGCTGTTACTCTTGAAATGGAGGGTGGAAAACAAACTGTTGTCCTCTGTCTCTTGGGATCTCAACCTGGTTATGTTATTCAGATGATCTCCCTTTTGAATGAATTTGCAGTGTTCATTTAGAATACCTCAATTGTAGGGCTACCTTTCTAGTAACCATTACATCTCTTAGGCATGTTTGAGTAGGCAGCTCTTTCCAGTGAAGAGCCCTTTCTTGTTTTGCACATGTACAAAGTGGTTTTGAGACCAAAAATCATATTATAGGTGGACTTCCCCTTTCCACCTCAATGAGAACTTTGTTCTCCTATTGTCCTGCCTATTGTCAAGACTGAGATCCCTCTTTGTACTGTTTGTAGACTCTTGTAGAGAGCATCCTTCTTCCTGTTCCACCATTGCCAGGTGGATTAGTCAACCGATATCCGGGGCTTACGCACTTAGGGACAGTGTTCCTCCTTTCCCTGTGAGTGCCCAATTCACAAAGGGTGGTGTTATCTCAGGCTTTTCAGCATCTGTTACCAGATTTGCAAGGCCGCCATTTGTTCAGGTCTCGGCTGATGCGAACAAGAGCTGCAAGGTGCTTTAGCCCTTTCGCTGCCAGAGCCTTTTTTGCACAGGTTTAAAAAAATATCATTTTACGCCTGAAGATTACACAATACCCCCAAACATATATTTTCTGAAAATGGCACACACTAGAGAATAATATAGTGGTAGTTTGAATTTTTTATGTCAAACAATATTACCGCACAGACTAAAACGCAAAATTTCAGCAAAAAACAAACTAAAGTGGATTTTAGGTTAAACAAACACAATAAATTACCCACATTTTTGGAAAAGCTAAAAGATGAGGTTACACCGAGTAAATAGATGCCCAATATGTCAAACCTTCAATGTGTGTGCGCCCGTGATATGGTTACAAATTTCAGTACCCTACAGCCCAGGCCAAAAATTTTGAGAATGACACAAATATTAATTTTAACAAATGTCTGCTGTTTCAGTGTTTTTAGATCTTTTTGTCAGATGTTACTATGGTATACTGAAGTATAGTTACAAGCATTTCGCAGGTGTCAAAGGCTTTTATTGACAATTACATTAAGTTTATGCAAAGAGTCGAAAAAGAAGGGTCAACACTTCAAATATTAAGACTTCTGCGATTCACCTTGACATGCTGTCAATCAACTTTTGGGCCACATCCTGATTGATAGCAGCCCGTTCTTGTATAATCAGTGCTTGGAGATTGACAGAATTTGTGTTTTGTTTTTGGGTTTTTTTCCCCACCCACCTCTTGAGGATTGACCACAAGTTCTCAATAGGATTAAAGTGTGGGGGTTTCCTGGCCATGGACCCAAAATTTTAGATGTTTTGTTCACCAAGCCACTTAGTTATCACTTTTGCATTATGGCAAGGTGCTTCATTATGCTGGAAAAGGCATTGTTTGTCGCCAAACTCTTCTTGGATGGTTGGGAGAAGTTGCTCTCGGATGTTTTTGTACCATTTTTTTTTCATTAATGGTTGTGTTCTTAGGCAGAATTGTGAGTGAGCGCACTCCACTGGCTGAGAAGCAACCCCACACATGAAAGTTATCAGGATGCTTTACTGTTGGCATGATACAGGACTGATGGTAGCGCTCCCCTTTTCTTCTGTGGACAAGGTTTTTTCCGGATGCCCCAAACAATCAAAGAGAATTCATCATAGAAAATGACTCTACCCCGGTCCTCAGCAGTCCAATCCCTATACCTTTTGCAGATGATCAGTCTGTCCCTGATGTTTTTCCTGGATAGAAGTGGTTTAATTTGCTGCCCTTCTGACACCAGGCCATCCTCTAAAAGTCTACAACTCACTGTATGTGCAGATACTCACACCTGCCTGCTGCCATTCCTGAGCAAGCTCTGCACTGCTGTGCCCAGATCCTACAGCTGAATCAACTTTAGGAGATGGTCCTGACACTTGCTGTATTTTCTTGGATGTCCTGAAGCCTTCTTCACATCAATTTAACCTCTCTCCTTGAAGTTCTTGATGATCCGATGGTTGATTTAGGTACAATCTTAGCAGCAATATCCTTGTTTGTGAATCATTTTGCAAAGCAATGTTGACTGCATGTGTTGCCTTGCAGGTAAATTAATATTTGTTATTCTCAATACTTTTGGGCAGGGCTGTATATTTTCTATTGGCGACTCTTCAAAAGCCCCTAACGGTCATCAGTTTAGAGGAGATCTTGTGCTAGATTTATTGCTCTTACTCCAGCATGTATGGCGATATGTATCGTGTATCGCAATCGACATTTTCATGCGTAGTCGCCCCGATGTTCATATACAGTGGATATAAAAAGGTCTACACACCCCTGTTAAAATGTCAGGTTTCTGTGATATAAAAAAACAAGACAAATATAAAAAAAAAAAAAAAAAAGCAAAAACAACAATACACATCACTAAAAGAACACCATACCCACAGTAAAGCTTGGTGGTGGCCGCATCATGCTTTGAGGCTGTTTTTCTTCAGCTGGAACTGGGGCCTTAGTCAAGGTCATATTGGCACAAAACCCCTCAGGCTTCTACTAGAAAGCGGAATATGAACAGGAACATCCTCTTTCAGCATGACAACTACCCAAAGCATACATCCAAATAAAGGAATGGCTTCACCAGAAGAAGCTTAAAGTTTTGGAATGGCCAGCCAGAGCTCAGACCTGAATCATATCAAAAATCTGTGGGGGTGATCTGAAGAAGGCTGTGCACAAGAGATGCCCTCGTAATCTGACAGATTTGGAGTGTTTTTGCAAGGAAGAGTGAGCAAATATTGCCAAGTCAAGACGTCCTGCTGATAGACATATCCAAAAAGACTGAGTACTGTAGTAAAATCAAAAGGTGCTTCAACAAAGTATTAGTTTAAGGGTGTGCACACTTTTGAAACCATATTATTTTAGTTTATTTTTATTTGCTTCCACCTAAAAGATTCCACCTAGAAGTTTGTTGTTCAACTGAATTATACAGTTTATAGGTTACATTAAAGGCGAAAAAAGTTCTGAAGTGATTTATCTTTGTCTCATTTTTTTAAATCACAGAAACCTGACATTTTAACAGGGGTGTGTAGACTTTTTATACCACTGTATGTGGGGGCTCAAAATGTTTTTTTGTGGGGAATGTTATGTGCTTGGGTATAACTTTTTTTGCAATTAAAACGTTTTTGCTTAACCCTGGCAGCGAGAGGGTTAAAGCCCAACCCCAGGCAGATACACTCCTTTGTAGTGGGACTGCTAATGTTTGTTAGCTTGTTTTGTCCAGGGAGAGGAGGAATTGTTTTACAACACCCCCACCACCACCACGACTCCCATCACCACCAGCATCCAGCCATGAACTGTCTCTTAACATCCTCATGCCCAGAGTAGGGCTATGAACCCTGCTATGGTCTTGAACACATTTTGGACCTAAAAGTCCTAACTAGATATTTACATGTTTCCAAATTCCACATAGAGTCCACAAGATCTATCTTTGCTTATTTCAGATAAGGGAAAATTTCTGGCATGAGTTGACTTCCAAGATGCCTACTTTCACATTCCCATCTTTCCCGCACACCAATGCTTTCTAAATGTTGCTGTGGGAGAGTTGGTCACTCTGCCATTGGGGCTCTCTTCTGGATCTAAAATCTCAGAGCATCATGTCACGGAATACCTAAATTACCTCCTCTTTAAAGACTCCTCAGCCACGGACTTGTCCAACATTCACAGGACAGCCCAGCTCCTCCAAACATT